TGAATTCCAATTAAATATATTGGTGTCGGGTTTAGAAATATAAATCAAACCACTCCCGAGATACAAATTATAACCACTAAAGATTTTCTACATGCTGATGAAACCTCTTAGCCTTCTCAACATACATTTCTAGATTCTAATTATCCATAAAATTAACTGGTCAAATTTTTCTTGGAAGGTGATTCTAGTTTTGTTTGTTGTTGCTGTTGAATAACTACTGCCAAATGCATGAATTTTACTCCCAATAACTAACTTTCTAGCAGCTACTAGCTCTCCTTCTGTTAAGATTATATAATGCGCAACTTCAGCAGCTTTTCCCTGAAAACCGCTTTAAAGCAAAGGACAGGTAAAAAAAAAAATTTGAACATTAAGAATGTGGTTTAAAAACAAATGGCGAAGTATAATAAACTAAAACGCTTACCCAAAGGTTTTGGAAAACATTTTCCTTTCAGAAGAAACCAATGAATACAAATTAGCTTGAGGATAATGTTTTTGCTAACTAAGCCTCAACCCTTATCCTGTCTTTTTTTTTTCCCCCACAAGTACTTCTGAAACAAACTGGTCTAAAATAAAGGTCATGTCTAAATACAGATAAATTTCTAAGTCTTCAAAAATTAAAGAGACACTCATGTTCATAGCAGCATCATTTACAATAGCCAAAAGGTGGACAGCAACCCAAGCATCCACTGATGAGTGAATGGATAAACAAAATGTGGCACACATATACACACACACACACATACACACACACACATGCAATGGAATATCATTCAGCCTGAAAACAGAAGGAAATCCTGTCACATGCTACAACACGGATGAAACTTGAGGACATCAAGTAAAACAAGCCAAACACAAAAAGACAAATACTATATGATTCCACTTAGGTAAGATACTTAGAGTAGCCAAACTCACAGGGACAAAAAGTAGAACAGCGGTTACCGGGGCTAGAGGAAGAGAAAGGGGTTGTCACTTAACAAGTAAAGAGTTTCAGTTTTGCAAGATGAAAACAGTTCTAGAGATTGGTTGCATGATAATGTGGATGTACTTAACACTACTGAACTAAGGCCAGGCGCGGTGGCTCACGCCTATGATCCCAACACTTTGGGAGGCTAAGGCAGGCAGATCACTTGAGGTCAGGAGTTCGAGACCAGCCTAACCAACATGGTGAAACACCATCTCTACTAAAAATACAAAAATTAGCTGGGCATGGTGGTGTGTGCTTATAATGTCAGCTACTTGGGAGGCTGAGGCGCAAGAATTGCTTCAACCCAGGAGGCGGAGGTTGCAGTGAGCTGAGATCATGCCACTGCACTTCAGCCTGGGCAACAAAGCAAGACTCCATCACACACACACACACACACACACACACACACACACACAACACATTATTGAACTATATACTTAAAATGGTTATAATGATAAATTTTATGTCTATCTTAACACAATTAAAAATTTTTTAAATATTAAGGGCAGAGTTCTAATTCCAGGGGTGGTAGAATAGCTTATATCAGACTAACCTTCCTATAGAAAATAATTTGGAAATCTGGAAAAAATATTAAAAAACTACAGATGTTCCTCACCTTATGATGGAGTTGCATCCTAATAACACCCCCATCCCACCCCACAAAAGTAAAAAAATCATAATCTGAACTATCATAAATCAGGAACCATCTGTATATAAAAGCACTGAGAGCAACCAAACTTAGCAATTAGAAGGGAATCTATTATTGAAAGAAAGGAATGGCACTGGGTAAGATCCATGTTTACACACAGCTTTTCCCTACAGGCAACAGCAGTCTTAGAGGTACAGGCAGTAAACTGGAAGAGAAGGTCTTTTTTTTTTTTTTTTTTTAATATATCAGGAAACAGATTTAAGAGTTGCCAGGGCTGCTGAAAATAAAGCCAAGAAATAAACGCCATGAACTCTAAGTACAGATTCTCAAACTCATTGCCAACTGTGAACTACACATGTGTAATTGTCAACTGTGAACTATACACGTAAAATTGCCAAGTGTGAACTACACATGTATAGGGGTAAGACGACAGGAGACCAGTGGAAAGCAACAGCTAGAAGACTCAAAGACCTGAGCAGATACTCCAGCTACTGTCCACCGGGGAGACAAAGTTTGGAGCTAGAATTCCACTAATGGTGTTGGGCTTTTCATTGCAATTGTGGACAGGCCATGAACCAGAGGAGTTAAGTCTATGTCCCCAGACTGAGGGATTCACTTTAGATTAAGGACAAAATCCAAACACACCCATCCTAAGAAAATGTATAAAAAACCAAGTATCTTCAAGGTGATCAACCATTAATTAAACTGTATACTAAAAAACTCTTCAGAGGAAGATAACAGAATCTAGAATGTCTAAAAATCAGCATCCACATTGTCCAGTATACAATAAAAAACAACTAGACATCAGAAGAAACCCCCAAAAAGTGACATCTAGTCAAGAGAAAAAGCCATTAACAGAAACCAACATCAAGATAGCCCGGATGTTGGAATTAGCATAAAAGAACTTTAAAGCAGCTACTAGAAAATATGTTCAAGAAATTAAAAATAAAAATGTCATAATAATTGACAGATGAGAGAATCTCAGCAGAGAAGCAAAAATTACAGAAACAACAACAAGAAAAAAGAACCAAACGGAAATTCTAGACATGAAAAGCACAAAGTGTGCAATAAAAATTTCACTGGATGCACTTAACTACAGATTGGAGATGAGACAGAAAAAAAAACTGGTGAACTTGAAAAAACAATAATCATCATCCTATCTATCTAAAGAACAGACAGGAAGAAAAGACTGGTAAATTGGACTTTATCAAAATTGAAAACATCCACTCAAAGATAGCATTAAGAAAACAAAAGGCAATTTACAAACTAGGAGATAAATTCTCTCTATCTGTATCTAACAAAAGACATGAATCCAGATATTTTAATAACTATAAATAAATTTAAGTTTAAAAAAGACTCGAATAGACACATCACAAATAAAAATCTGAAAATTATCAATAACACATGAAAAGGTGTTTAATATCACAGTCAGTACGGATACATAATTTAAGGCCACAGTTAAGATACACCCATCAGAATGGCTAAAAGAGGAACAAAACAACAGCAAATGTTGGTGGTAATATGAAACAACCGGAACTCTCATAAATTGTTCGTGAGAGTCTAAAAAGATACAATCATTTTGGAATACTGTGTGGTAATTTATTATAAAGTTAAACATACAACTATCCTATGGCTCAGCAATCCTACTGCTAGATATTTATCCAAGAGAAATAAAAATGTATGTCCACTGAAATATTTGTTGATAGCAACTATTGACTAACTTTCCAAAACTTAGAAATAACCCAAATGTCCAACAGGAGAAAGGATAAACATATTGTGATAGCTGGATCAGTGTAACGGAATATCACCCATCCAAAAGTAACAAAGAATAAACTGATACACACAATATGGATGAATCTTGAAAACATTGTGCTGAGTGAAAGAAGCCAGGCATAGAAGAATACACACTGTATGGTTCCATTTCCATAAACTTTTAGAAGAGGCAAGACGAAGTGATACCAAGAAGGGTCGGTGTTGATCAAAGGGGAGCATGAGCCAAATTTTCTAGAATGATGGAAATGTACTCTATTTTGAATGAGGTGGTTATACAGTTATGCACATTTATGAAAATTACTGAATTGTACAATTAAGATTTGTACATTTCAAAGTATGTAAATTTTACCTCAATAAAAGCAATTAAGAATAAATCCTGCACATTTTTTTTTGAGATGGGGTCTCATCGTGTTACCCAGACTGGAGTGCAGTGGTGCAATCCAGGCTTACTGCAGATCTCTGCCTTTCGGGCTCAAGCAGTCCTCCCACTTCAGCCTTCCAAGTAGCCAGGACTGCAGGCATGTGCCAACATTCCTAGTTAATATTTATATTTTTTGTAGAGACTGAGTTTCACCATGTTACCCAGGCTGGACTCCTGGGCTCAAGCAATTCACCCATCTCAGTCTCCCAAAATGCTAGGATTACTGGCATGAGCCACCACACCCAGCCAATCCTATACTCTAAAATCGTGATTATGAGATTATGAATAATAGCTAAATTTTAAATCCAGTAAGTTTTATATGTCATTGTACTTTAACTACTAATAGAAATATTTTTAAAAATTTAATTATGCCCCCAAAGGTCTAAAATTATATGAATCCACACAATTTCAAACTGTTTCTGTACTGATATAGTACTCTCATTTTCAGATTTTGATATGGTGATTTTTGTGAACTATGATGAGTAAAACTTATGTATGTACCTATCATTTATTCAGTTCTCTTAACGTCATGTCTAACATCATGTATTCACCTGAAAAACTCATGGCTTGTTTTCTGAAAATTAACTAAAACTGTCACTGTTTTCAGAAATTTGACATTTAAAATCTTTCTTAAACCTTAATTTGATCCTCAAAATATATTATCTTTTAAAATTTTGATATTTAAAAGCACACTTATTTATTCCCACTTTCAGACACAGCCATATTTTACCTTCTACCACCCCGCTTCTGCCTTCTTCAATACAAGCTTCATTGCATGTTCATTCCTCTGAAAGACTACTATCACTTAGTTGGGTTTAACTGGTTTGTCTGTGAGTGAGCCTGAGTCTGTCTATCCCCAACATGCTTTCTCTAGGTTATAACTAGAAGAAAAAAAAATTCCTAAAACCCATTTTAGAAAAGAGAGAAGAGGTTTGTGCTTCATATGATGGAACTAGCTCTACATGGCTGGCTAGTTTCATATGATCTGGAAATTCCTACTCAACAAATGTGTAAATCCCTTACATGCAGACAAAACATGGATGTATTTAGTCACCAAATACAAACTCATGAAGAAAAAATTCCTAATGCTACATGCAGACAAGAAGAATAAATTTGCTGGAGATTATTATTTTCCTTTTAGAACATAATGAATTGCTTTACATAGTAATTACATACTCTCATTTAATTCTTACCTTCTTTCAGAGCTTTATCCATATTATGAGAAATTACTACCCTTCTAGACTGAGCTGATTCATGCCAGTTTCCATACATAGGACTCTGAAACGAAAGGAAAAAAATACAAAGCAGATTACTGAATGAATAAATCACATATAAAAACAAAATCAAAGGTATGAAATGCCATCTAAACAAGCATTAAGATAAGGCTTAACGAATAATAGAAGTTTTTCCACAAAAGTAAATAAATGCTTAAGGTTAAAATTTTTTGGAAAAAAAAAATTAAGGAAGGATTTTCCCTACCAGATATCAAAACAGTATAGTGACTGTATAGGAATAAATAAATCAACACAATGGTACAGAGTACACAAACGGATGTAGCTATATATGTGCAAATTAAGAACATAATTTTCTTTAAAAAACTGAAATTAATGATAAAAATCACACACTATTCAGTAAATGATGTTGGAATAATTTGATATTCACATGGGAATACAAGGTTACGGTCTTACACTTTGCATATAAATAACTCCAAAAGATTAAGCAGCTAAACATGTTTTAAACTAAAAAGAATTAAGAGGAAATAAGGGAGCAGCTTTTTATAATCTTGGAATGGAAAAGTCTTCTCTAAAATAAAACACAAAATCCAAATGGTATGAAAGGGAAAAAAAATGACAAATCTGACTACCTAAAATACAAAATTCTTGTTTCACAAAAGATGATGCAAACGAAATATAAATGATAGACTAGGAGACAATATCTATAACATGTGTAACAAAGAAATATTATTACATACAGACTCCAAAAATAAGAAAAATAACTCAAAAGAAAACCAAGCAAAGAAGTTGAAAGGGAAATCATAAAAGATAAACAATGACCAATAAATGTATGACAAAAAAAATGCAATCCCCTTTTTTATTAGAGGAATGCAAATTAGAGCAAAGAGACACCATCAGACTGCCACAGCAGAGGAAAGGACTCATGTATCTAATGTTGACAAGGACACAGGGAAATGGTTGTTTTCACATATTGTTGGGGGAAATATCTATTTCTACAAACTTTTAAGAAGGCAACTGAGCCACATATGTCAAAATTTTAAAGGACTTTTTTGAGTCTCACATGTTGCCCAGGCTGGAGTACAGTGGTGGCTCATTGCAACCACTCAGCTCACTGCAACCTCCGCCTCCCAGATTCAAGCACTTCTCCTTAGCCTCCAGAGCAGCTGGGACTTCGGGCGCACGACACCACACCCAGCTAATTTTTTATTTCTAGTAGAGATGGGTTTTCGCCATGTTGGCCAGGCTGGTTGGGAACTCCTGACCTCATGTGATCACCTGCCTCGGCCTCCCAAAGTGCTGGGATTATAGGCGTGAGCCACCGCACCCGGCCTAAAGGACTTTCTATTCTGCATTGCCACTCCTAGGACTCTGCCCAGCAGAAATGTGAAAAAGTATAAGGAATTTTACTGCTATATTAATTATAGGGGCAAAAAATTGGAGGTAACGCAAGTTTATATATATATGTCAATAGACAAAGAGTTAAATAAATTATGGTATACCATTAAAAAGATATATATATATACCTTCATGGAAAGTTTTCTATGATGGGAAAATGTTTGCAAGCACAAACACTTTTAAAAGTGGTTTCCTCTAGGCCAGAGGTACAGAATTTTAAGTCTATGTGTGTCTGTATAACAGCAAGTGATGTTAAAAAAATAAATAAATAACTGTATAAAGATACTACTTTGGGCTGGGTGCAGTGGCTCACACTTATAATCCTAGCACTTTGGGAGGCCGAGGCTGGCAGATCACTTGAGGTCAGGAGTTTGAGTCCGCCTGGCCAACACAGTGAGACCTCGTCTCTACTAAAAATACAAAAATTAGGCCGGGCGCGGTGGCTCAAGCCTGTAATCCCAGCACTTTGGGAGGCCGAGATGGGCGGATCACGAGGTCAGGAGATCGAGACCATCCTGGCTAACCCGGTGAAACCCCGTCTCTACTAAAAATACAAAAAACTAGCCGGGCGAGGTGGCGGGCGCCTGTAGTCCCAGCTACTCCGGAGGCTGAGGCAGGAGAATGGCGTAAACCCGGGAGGCGGAGCTTGCAGTGAGCTGAGATCCGGCCACTGCAGTCCAGCCCGGGCTACAGAGCAAGACTCCGTCTCAAAAAAAAAAAAAAAAAAAAAATACAAAAATTAGCTCGGCGTGGTGGCGGGCACCTGTAATCCCAGCTACTCGGCAGGCTGAGGCATGAGAATAGCTTGAACCCAGGAGATGTAGGTTGCAGTGAGGTGAGATCTCGCCACTGCACTCTAGCCTGAGTGAGAGAGCAAGACTCTGCTTGGGGTGGGGGCGGGGGGAAGATACTGTTTGGCATTTTTTCTCTTTTTTTCCTTAAAGGAGAGACTATAGAATTAAAACTCCACTATCTGTCTAGTGAGACTACATTAAAAAGAAGATTTTTTTACTTGATCACATATCATAGTAATCAGAAGCATGTATAACATAATTGGGGTCTACTTATTGGTTTGGAAGGAAAAAAAGGAAAAAATTGCAGAACATTTTTTTTTCAGGTGAGAAATATTACAAGTTCTTGACCAGCACTGCCACATGACTTGGAGATCTAAAAGGCTAATGCTACTGTCACCCTCATCCTACAAACCAGTGTGGAGAACCACTTTGTTCTCAAGCAGAGGCCAGACCAGCACAGATGCAATCAATCCCACAGCCCCAGGCCACCCAACTGAGAGTGGAGAATTTCCAGTCCTTGATTAGTCTCATGCTATCTACAATCAAGTGCCAAGGATGTCATCCCTGTTCGTGCTTGCTGTTATTAAAAACAAACAAAAGTCTTCTGGTGACCTTATAAAAAAAGAGGAAAAAAAGACATAGATTCGAGATTTCTTAGTGGAATTTTTTTTTAAAACCGTAAGATGTACATGTTGCACCCAAGAAAGAAAAGACATTCCTTTATGCTCAAATTAACATATAGCATTCAACACTTTCCCAAGGAATTTTTTAAAAATCTTAATCATAATCACATATAGTCAGACATGTAATGCATAAAAGAAAATCATGTGACCTTTTAAAACTATTTTCTAGTTTCTGGGTAGCTCTCTATGAAATAAAATACATGGTCTAGATTTTATTGAAATTTTAACATTTTTCATTTGGTTCACAGAAGAAAAAAAATGGAGGAAATGAGGAATTTTCAAATTCTACTGCTTTTAAAACATCAGGCAGATATTTAAACAACTTACGAATTTTGGGTGTAATATTTAATTGAGTTAAATGCTTTCAGAGGTCTACACTGCTAAATAATTTTAATCACAACTTCTCAATGCTTTGGCAAATAGTTAAATGAACAATACTGATCAAATGACAAAACCAAAGCCAAAAAACTTTTTAAAGAAGTTCCTGGCTGGTGGCAGTGGCTCACGCCTACAATCCCAGCACTTTGGGAGGCAGAGGCGGATGGATCACTCGAGGTCAGGAGTTTGAGGTCAGCCTGGCTAACACGGTGAAACCCCATCTAAAACTTAAAAAATTAGCCAGGCTTGGTGGCAGGCACCTGTAGTCCCAGTTACTCAGGAGGCTGAGGAAGGAGGTCTGACTAAGCCCAGGAGATGAAGGCTGCAGTAACCCATGACTGTACCACTGCATCCAGCCTGGGCAATATAGCAAGACACTGTCTCAAACAAACAAACAAACAAACAAAGAGTTGTTCCTGAATTTGAGTTCTTAAAATGGAAACAGCCTATAAGGGCTGGGCATGAATACGACTGACATGCATATCTGAAGTATGTTCTTTGGATATGTGTCTATCTTTATAACTTTCTTCAAAAATGTTTACTTTTTATTCTTATTTTTTATCTTCCTAGTTACGGATCTACTACCTCTTGCCATGTGTCTGTTTATTTATTTTATCCCTCTACTTCATACTTACATGTAACATACAAACATGTTTGTCACTGCTGACTACATCTGAATAAGGCCTTTTGTCTATTTAATGATAAAACGGTGGTTTCTCTAAGAGCTAGGGGAAGGGGGGAATGGTGAGTTAATGTTTAAAGGGTATAGAGTTTCAGTTTGGTGGGGGGGTTGCTTTTTGATAAGGTCTCACTCTGTCATCCAGGCTGGAGTGCAGTGGTGCAATCTTGTCTTACTGTAGCCTCGATCTCCTGGCTCAAGCAATCCTTCCACCTCAGCCTTCTGAGTAGCCAGAACTACAAGTGTGTGTCTCTGTGTGTTTCGCTATGTTTTAAGTTTTTTGTAAAGATGGGAGTTTCACCATGTGGCCCAGGTTGGTCATGAACTCCTGGCCTCAAGCGATCCTCCCACCTAGGCCTCCCAAAGTGCTGGGATTACAGGCATGAGTCACCGTGCCTAGCAGAGTTTCAGTTTTACAAGATGAAAACAGTTATGGAGATAGATGGTAGCAATGGCTGCACAACATTGTAAATGTATTTAATATCACTGAACTGTATACTCAAAAATGGTTTAGATAGCACATTTTATAAGTATTTTACCATAATAAAAATCAAATTGCAGGGGAGATGGATTTGTGAGAATAATGTTTTCTATTTCAGCTCGATTTAAGCAAAACCCCTACCTATTATTCTTTCAATCTGATTTTCCAATCTGGTTCTGAAGTTCCCACACCCTACCCGCTAGGAGTCACCGGCCCTTACTAGAAAGAAACCAGTTCTTTGTTCCTATCCCATCCCCATAGCCTGATGGAGAAACTGTAAGCCAGGAGAACAGGAAAGAGAAAAAAAACACCTCATGGGCCACAAATAACTGGGTTACTATGTGCAGTGTCGTGATACGTGTCGGGTTTCATCCAGGGTTCCTGGCTCCTAACTCCCACAGCCGGTCTTTGTTCCAGGCTTTTTTTATAATGTTGGGTGTGTCTGGCCTCAAGGCCGCTGACCTTTTTCTGTCCTCCTTCCACTCTCAGGGTCCCTTGCCTCTCTGGCTGTGGGTCTTAAGACCTTCCCATCAGAGAGTCCCACCCTATACTCTGGAGGAAGGCAAGCTCCAGAGGAGGGCTCGGTGAGCTTCGGGACAGCTGAACATGTGAGGTTCCTGCAGGGTGGTGCCC